AGATGTATCTACTTGTGAAGAGTTATTTAATGTTATGGATAGTGCGGTATATATTTTGTTTTTCATTTATTTGTTCGTCGAAGAATCATTGGGTATGAAAGTTGCTAGATTGAATTTCTTTCTCGAGAGTTGAGGTTATGTTGGTATATACTCTTTTTTTTTTTTTTTCGTCGAAGAATCATTGGGTATGAAAGTTGCTAGATTGAATTTCTTTCTCGAGAGTTGAGGTTATGTTGGTATATACTCTTTTTTTTTTTTTTGTAGGTATATCTACTTGTGGAGAGTTGTCTGCTATAATGAATAGTGTGGTAATTTATTTATTGACTGACAAAGGAGAAGATTCTTTTTCTTCTTTTTATTTTATTTTCTATTATTTATGTGAAGGATTCTTTGAATGTAAAAGTTACAAGATTGAATTTCTTCTTTGAGATTGAGGTTGATGTTTGTTTTTTTTTTTCTTCTACTTTTACTTCTTCATTGAAAGTAATAATGTGATATTCTTTTTTAATTTACTTACTTTATTACTTAGTTAAAAAGATGAAACGACTCTTTGAACGTAAAGTTACTTGATTGAATCCGTTTTGTCAAAGATTAAAGTTGATTCTTTTTCCAATAAAAAAAAAAAAAAGAAAAAAGATCTTTATCTTATGCCACTCTTCTATCTATAACTTATCATTTCCAATTGTCGAGTCACTGATATTACTAGTAAATAATTCTGCAGAAAAATAAATAAGAGAGCAGAATTATATTATTATTGTATTATTGGAAAATCCATAGGGGCGAAATAACGATAGCCAGATTCCAGTAATAGTTCGGTTAAGAGCGTACAAACGATATTTTCGCAAGTCTTATGCCAATAGACGGTTAACCTGGTCATAAACGGCCACCGCCTAATTGCGAGAGTCGTGATTGTCGTTGCTATCGACCTAATCGTTCCGGAAACGATTTCAGAGGTTGACCCCAATAGGCGGACGCCATTTTATTCGGCGTTTATCAAAGACAAATATGTTATCGCAATAGCTATCAGGAAGGTAATTTGAAATTTTTTATTAGTTATCAAAGATCTTTGAGATTGATCAAACTTCAAATTTCAAATTACATTTCACAGCAACAAAATTAAAGATGGATCCCTAAAAACAAATCTGTCTGACATTATTCTCGTCTTTCTGTTGCAGGATCGAGAAAAAGGGCGCAAGGGCACTGTAAATACTCCGCAGAGGGAGATTTACTATCGCGATTTCTGCACTGGAAGAAGAGAGGCGTAGCTAGGAAAAAGAATTGGCGAGGGTGCAAAAAAGAATATACTCTAAAAGGAGAAAGAAATGGAAGTATCGTCCTCGAGATACATAAATCGTGACGCGAGGGCGCGGAAAGACGAATGGGGAATGCGCGCGCATGCGCGGCTCAGAGGAGATTTAGGGAATTAAGGGAATTACGTCGAAGTGCCTGCTTACGCACGAGCACGTAAGGAAGAAGAGGGATAGATAGATCTTGAGGAGGAGACGTGCGCTGAATCGTGTTTTCTGTGAAGGAGGAGGAGAGGTTTTAGGTGAGAATCGCCTATAATTTTTGAACGAAACGGACTACTAACTGGTCGAGCAATTTCGAAAAGATCGTATGCTTAAACGCCCTGGAGAAGGGTTTCGATTCGTCGTCCCTGTAAATAACGAGCTCACGTACGACATCTTGCGGATGATTCGAGACCTAAAAGAGATCGGTAAGGGAAACCGTAATATAGGTCGTTTTGTACATATATATAAATTGTGGATGGATGGGGAAACGAGAGTTTATGCAGAATTATTTTCTCGTTCCATCTGTATCTGTTCAGTCCCGCGGATCTTGCCGATATCCACCAGCCAAGACACCCGCAAATCATACGGGCAACGTGCAAAATAACAGCCAGTTTCAGCTCCAATCGCGAGTCCTGATGCGATCGTGTATTTCCATTACGCACAGTATTTATTCGTTATAAGGGTAAGAATTCTTTCTCGAGTCCTGTCGAAGCGAGTAAAATTTTTTTTTCCACCTCACCAATACTCGTAAATTCCTTTAAATATTTAGCTTTTCAATTCCTCTTTTTTTTTTTTTTTTTTTTTTTTTTTTTTTTTTTTTTTTTTTTTTTTTTTTTATGTTCCTCGTTATTGGCGAAGATAAAACGAAAATAGAATTTCAAGCTTCTACTTCTTTTTGTGTTAGGAAACGGTCGACGGTTGTTTTTATGTCATTTTAAAAATTTTATTTCTCAGTAAAAAAAGAAGTGAACAGAAATTTATGCACAATGTGTATATTACTACAGTAGTGCCCTCTTTAGCATTCACATATTTCAGATATCTGGTTAAAGTTATTAATACACTTCTGAAAAATCTTTATACTTTATATTTTCAAAAATCGATGGAGAGATAACGTCGGATGTTGAAGTGCTTTTATAACGAATACATACAGTGTTGGACTCTTGTACAAAGTTGTCAATATCTTTCGACCAACTCGCGTGTCCTTTTCTATCGAGGATTGGTCACAGCGTCGTCGAGGAGGCGGAGGAGAAGGAAGAAGAAGGCGGATCGCACAGGCGCTACTCTATCCTTAACTTACACCAGAGCAACTGTTTAATTAAACTCCCTGATGAAATATTCTCGTGTACACGCTGTTGAAAAGGCTATAGCCGAGAGCTGGCCTGGGGGGGGGGGCGGATCTTTGGAAAATTTGTCAAAGTGAAGAAGTCGAGTCCACGGTATAAAAAACTGATTCAAAATTATTAGAATATAAAAGTGGAGTGACGAACCTGGACCACGAGTGACGCATCAATTTTCCTTCCTGCTATACTCTATTCCATATTAAACTCTGTAACCCTTTTTCTCCGATTCCGAATGCCACTGGAGTTTCATCTTTGTGTATAGGTCGTGAAACCGATTGAAGTTCGTCACTCCTTGTCTCATGGATGTTTATTATGGTGCAGTGAGGAGAATGGTTAATAAGCAGCGATAAACTAATTTAAACTAAATTAAGTGTGGAAAAAAAAAAAAAAAAAAATTCGTCCTTTTTCCGCGGCGGGCATCGTGCACTCCCAATATGGACTTCCGGTCTCCTGCAAACACGCGCGCCACGAGACTTCGATGATGCGATAACATTAACGTGTGTTTCGTTTTAATTAGCATCGTATTTCATTACTTTCAACCCTTCACTCTGTGCAATATATATTGTTTTTTTTTCTTTTTTTTTTTTTTTTTTTTTTTTTTTTTTAGATCGTGCGCTCGTCGATTGTTCACGTTTCTCGTGATCAACGTGGAAATGGAACATTTCGATCTATATACGTGTGTGTATGCGTGTGTGCGAGTGAGTGAATACGTCGTGTGTGTGTGTGTGTGTTCGTATGTGTAACAATTTTAATCTCTTTGTTCTTGGATCCCTTTGATTGGATTAAATTTCGTGGTTTTTGACGATAGGAAATATGGTAGCGACGATTAAATGGAAATTTTTCAGTCAAAGGGCAACCTTTGACCCGTGGTTTCAGAGAAACGAAGATGCACGGTGCTCGAGATTGTTAATATTTTTTTATATGTATATCGTATAAATCATCCCTCCTTTCGATATTATTGATAGTATAGAATCGCGAATTGTTTCTCAAATTTCTTTCGAAACGAGCAGAATGGACGTGAAGGAAAGACGGAAGGAGAGGCAAGAGAAGGGAAAAAAGAAAAAAAAAAACAAAAAAGAACTAATTGTAGAAATCATTTTGTACTTTGACACTGTGTAAGTGAGTATGCGTGATTTGCGTCGTTTGCTTCGAGAGAGAGAGAGAGAGAGAGAGAGAAAGGAAAAATTGGAGGAGATATGAGAAAGGAGCGCGATAGAAGAAATTGTACATTGTTTTGTAAAGAGTACATTTATTTATATCTGTGATAATGGGCAAGGTTAAGTAGAAATGAAAAGAGAAGAGTTGCAAACGAGAGAAACGGTTGAGGGAATGTGAGAAAGAGAGAGAGGAAGAATGGAGAATATACAATATGGACGAAAAAAAAAAATATATATATATATATAAAATGGAGGCGAGGAGGAGAAATATTATGGTATTGGTATACTACGACGAAGATGATCGGTGCTCGTGCATTCGTTGACACGTATGTATATCGTAATAGACTAATTAAATAATAGAGACTCAATCATGGTTTTTGTAAATAATCAGCGTAGCCAAGGGGATACCATCATCGAGAGTCGAGGGTATCGTTTTATGAATCCGTGCGAGAAAAAAAAAAAATAAAAAAATAAAAAAAAAAAAAAAAAAAA